CGGATAAATCGAGTGCAAAGTAATCAGCTGATTTTCTGTATAATTAAACATTCAACACAAACAAACAAACAAAAACAAATTTTACCGAATTTGCATTTTTGTCTATTTTCACACTTGTTTCTGTTATTATAATATTTAGTTTACAATATACTTTCAATGTTTTCTCTAAAGACTTTATAAAAGTGTAACAATTAATTTTTTTTCATTTTTTTTTTCATTTTGATTTAAAACAAATATACTACCCCTATTTTTATCAATTATAAACTACGGAATGTCTCTACTGAACCTGTATACTTTAGTATGTGTATCTTTTTACATTATTTAATGCACAGATAACATTACTGAGAACAGATATAGGTCATTGCTGTACTCTTTCATTCTGCAATATATATTATAAGTCATATACAGAATATAGGTAGCATATTAATTATGTATCATGCTGCTGTATTTAGTTTATATACCAAAAAGCCAATCTACAACACATAGAATACTATATATACTAAACAGTACAGAATATTGATTGCAATACCTTTGGGTGCTGTTTTTATCCCAAAGTAAAATATACAATTATGGTAAAAAATATTCCGTTACATTGTATATTTGTTGTCTTCATTTTATCGATGTTGATAATCAAGTGAAAAGAATACGGAAAATAAATGTTTTTCAATCCTACTTCTATCAAACTTTTCAATCCTTTTATCAAAATGTTATTGCAAAAAAAATGATATTGTTGTACCATTGGTTTATTATTATTATAAATTGTGTGCAAATCTGACAACATTAATATGTAAATAAGTATCTTTACTTCATAATGGTACACAAGTAACTTGCCTGTTTTATCGAACTGAGTTCCAAATTTATCATAATGTGTTGACGTTTATATTGTTAATTTGTACATTGTACATAGTAATACCCCTGCAAATGATATAGCTTATAGGTTGTATTCGCTACCACTGATAATATCTTAGCAGCCTACAATGAGTTTTGGTTAAATGTTACATCTAACTGGTCTATTCTCTACTGATAATAACCTTTGAACCTTACAAAAAGATAGTTATAGTGTCATTGCTGATCTATCCAGTTTTCTCAGACGTAGTACGGTACAGAATCTGATGAGACAGTGAACACAACCCTGTTGTAATCTCGTGATCGACAGTGTCTCTCCATCGTGTGACAAGCGCTCGCCCAACATCAACAATTTGATAAAATAATCAATATCAAATACGTGTCTAAATATAACACCTTATCACATCATTTGCTCAGTGATGAGGTAGTGAGCTTGGTTGTGCGTGTGGCTACGGCGGCGTGAATTTGTAGTAAATATTAGTGTACTATTTAATGAACAACGTGCATAAATCATGTATAAATGTTATTGAAAAGGTTGTCAATTTTACAAGCTTGTAGACTATTATTCAGTATCTGATGAGTCTATTATATTATGAAATGAAAGATTCAGGGAAAGCATTGTGCTATCTTAGAGAAATTACCAAATGTTCCTAATCACATTGTAGTTATTGATCTCATTTAGAGACAGCGTTTTCCCTGCTCACAATATGTAATATTGTACCCCCATATATTTGGAATGGGAAATGATAAGCCGGAAAAACGCTTTCTTCCGGTTGGTATTTACATTCAAGCTTAACTATCCTTTTTATGCGCCATATAATGTATACATAGCCATATTCTACATATTAAAAATGAAAAACAGTGGAAAATTGTTTAATGAAAGATCACGAGTGATCTTTTTGTGATAGATATTATGTTTATCAGGAAAAAAATACTTGAACGGAAACTAATCAAATAATTAAAATAGTATGCATACTTGTGGATAAATTATGTAGAATTTAAAAAAAATCTATGTGATACATGTAGTGTTTTTGGTCTCTCTGAGTTTATATTGGTGAATCTTGTTTATCAGTACGTTTTCTTTCATTTTATTATCATCTTCTTTGCAGCAGACATCAGGAGTTATGTTTTCTATTATACCTAGTTATCTAATATAACAGATGAATGAAAAAAATAGATATTTCATAATGTCAGCGAGACGGACTAGACTGGAACTCAAAATTATGTCAATTGGTCAACAACTGCAAAACTAAAATACAAAATAAGGAACAGAAAAAAAAAGAAAAAAAAAACAGCAACCAGAATATTTGTTTTTAAATCTCCGGAAGAATGAGTTTCATGAATCACACGTGCTAACCATGATGATGTTTTCTGCCTAAAAAAATGCAATATGTATTGTCAAAAAGAAATTCAAATAAGTATAATTCCATGCTTAAAAGATTGAAATATCTGCCTTCTTTTAACAATTTATTTTTTTGGTTTACGTTGATTAGGTGCTATTTTTATTCCTATTATCAAGTCGTTCACGATAAACAAGTCAAAATTAAAAAGGAAAAAACGGCTGTTTTGACACAAAATCTTTCAACTGTGATCTCTGAAACCCACATGTATTACCAGTAACAGCTGGAGTTTATATATCCTTCTTTAGGTCAACTATCTAATAAAAATCCTCCTTTGAAATCTTATCTTAAATTGAAATGCCTCATTTTATATTATAGAATAGTTTAAATATTTACATTTTCCCCTATTACCCATGTAATTGATAAATTTAGATAATTCCAACACTGTTTATCTGAGCATAAAGGAAACTAAAACAGAATGCAAATCAGTTTTTGAGAGGCATAGTGTTGGCTGAACCTATTCTCTCGAGGAACTGTGTATGATTGCCATGGAAATCCCGTGCTGAGTTACAAATCATTTCCTTTTGTACTGATATACATATTTTCACAAGTAACAAAGCAAAGTGAACTGTGTAGAAGACTCACAATGTGATGGTCGAGGGGAAGTAACTCGAGTAACTCTGTCAATATTTTTAAATATATTTATATATTTTTCATTGGTCCTCTTTCTGAAATTTCGTAAAGTGTCATTAAAGAGCGACAATGAACAGAGTTATAACATTGTTGTTGTAATGATTGTTTCCTTTCTAATTACAATGTAAATGTCTTGATGGACAATAACTGTCACGAAACCAAACATTTATATCATAATAGAACAAAACAAAAAAATAAAAACGTTCGGCATAACCCGTTCGAACATCAGAGAAAGAAGATTTTTTCACAGATTTGTTTCAAACAGAGTAAGATGTTTTTAATCGAAATTTTACTGTCAACACTCAAAACCAAAATTAAGAGTGAATATCAACAACAAGAAAACAGAGAAATACAAAACAAAAAAGAAAAATACTTACTGGTCTCATACTGTACACTTGAAATAAAACATTGTGTCTGGCTGGTGTTTCTGTTACTGGTTGTACAGGTGTCTGTCAGGATGACTCTCGTAAAATCAAGGGAATAAGTCAACAATTACTGAAGAATAGACGATCATGTATTTAATCAAAACATTCTATGATATTCAACACCTGGGGATAAAAAGACAAAGATACTGAAGTACAAACAACACCGTAATTTGAACTAAAAAAAAGAAAGATTTAATTTTATCTTTATAAGAATATAATGAGATGGTGATGATTTAAAATAGACTCTTATTATCGACCTGTGAAGGATCAGAACCTAACATGACTTCTTGTCATATGGAGGAAGAGGAAAACCAGGAAGAAGATTATGATTGGAAGGAAGAAAGAAAGGAGGACATTTCAAAATATCCATACCCAGCTCACTTTCAACCTAACATGTTTATTTTACAGCTTTGAATTTAATAAACATAAACGGACCTTGCACAAACACCAATAGCACGGAAGATATTGAGTACCAAGTTAAGTTTCTTTTTTTGCGACATGAATTTTAAAGGTTAAACAAGCCCCTTAAAATTGTATAGTCATCCAAACTTCAATCCTCTGGTGAGTCATTTTGAACGACTCCAATTAAACATCGAAATTTAGATATATTATTTGGATATGTTGCACTTGTACTATACTATAGTTATCAAAAAGGTCATAGCGACTTTAACGTAATCAAAAATAAGACATTAAGGCTGGTTTCTATTTAAAAATAGTTTACCGGCAATAATAAATGTCAATATCTTTTGCTTCACAACTGAATACTGCGAAACGACATATTATCTAAAGTTTATCTGTATACCACGGTCAGGATAATTATCAGATTAAATATATGATATTTATCAGATTATAAATAGTTCAAAGGAAGGCTATGGGATCCAAATGAAATTCATATGATGTGCCATATCATTACATTCTGTGATGTTATAAATGCGCTCCACATGTTATAAATTATATGAATAACATGTCTAGCTTTTCTATAACAACAATTAATGTTACGAAAGGAGTCATAACTAATTCATCAATTTCACAAGGTTTTATATATATATCCAGGTAACATATGTACCGGATCATTTTACTATGAAAATGATTAAATCAGATTAAGTACACAAATAATTAATATGTTAGGAGATAACGATATTTTTGCCATATGAGCTGAAATCTGAAACCTTTTGTATTGTTATTTTATGTATTTGTCTTACTCACGAGTCAATTGAAAAAATTAACCCAAACTTGACATCAATATTTTTCTATATTTGAACTTGTGTAAAAAAATCCGAGTTGGCATCGTATAATTTTTCATCGCTTCAATTATTTCAAAACAGTTTAATAACTCCCAATTTCAACAATATGAAAAAGTTTTAGAAATAAGATGTTTTTTTATAGTTTTTGTAATGAATTCCGGTGACTTTTATGGCAATATGCTTATTATCTCTTTATCTCGTCAGCTCAAACGAAAACACACAAATCAACAATAGTAAGAGCTTAAAAGTTAATATTGTAACAGCGACCTTATTATAGGACAATCTCAATAAACCCTCAGTGGAGTGTTGTTTACATTCACAACAATGACATATTTCAGATAACACGAATGATAAGGCACATATACAAAGTACTCACAATCTTTACGCTCCAATAACGTGCTTGTACAATTGACATTATTATTGGCAGATTTACATATTTTGGGTTTAACAACATGCTTCATAACGTCATCATCTTCCTGTGTGGTAAGTTAGAAGAACACTTATATTTTGCCTGTAGAAAGTTGCGAATCGTTTGGAATTTTATTCAGCTTTATTTTGATTATTCAAACGCTTGTTTTTTATAATTATTATAACTGAAACCAAAATAATCATGTTCTTGGATATAAAATGATTCTCCACAAATAATGAACTTTAAATTATTAAACACTTTAAATGAAAATTATACGATTTTATGAATTTAAAAGTTTATGTTATCGTGACATCAAGCTAATAGATCTTTACGCAGCCATATCCTGTTTTGAAAGTGCCAAATCGTGACCATGTTGAGGAAACTATCCGGAAATGTGTTTAACAGTGACATATATTGTACCATTGTGGAGATTAAAAATTGGAATTTAAAAATAGAACATACAGATATATTTTAGAATTGCATGCTATAAAGCGTAAGATATTAATCTTGTAGCCGAATGACAATTATTCTTGATCTATTGAATATGTACTATTCTTTTTGTCAGTTTTGAAGATTATCACCATTTCGAGTTCATTAGAAGCTTGTGAAGATGTTAACACAGCTGTCTGTCATATGATGGCTGCCAAAGACTCTTCTCTGTGTTCCAAGTCTTGTTTACGGTCACTTTGTAAACGATTCTGTGGGACTTGTCGTAAGTAAACAATCTCTGCGTGGTTCGCGTAGGAATTAGTCAAAGTGATCATGGTGTACCAAGTGGAGTTATTTTGTCTAATTTAATCCTTGCTTTGTCATCTTCTTTAAAGTTTCAAGAAGGGACGTTCATGTATTACGTGTCGTGGACAGTTTTATTTAATTTGGATCTCAGGAACTTTCCCTTTTACAAAATATGACGATTTGTATATCTATCCTTGAAAAACACGAAGAGAATTCCAAGATAATGCCATAGTGTAAACAAAACAGCAGTTCGAACTCTAAATAGAGATAAATGTGAACAAAGGAAACACGTACATAGTAACGATTGAAAAAAAGTAATAAGACTATGTTATCTAGAGTGTCGATCCTGCCATAGAAATGTAGGTCATATCTAAGTAATACCACGTTCTCAAAGTGTGAACCAAAGTAGTGACATTAACGTATTTTACAACGAACATGTCTTTTGTGAATTATCGATTATAACCTTTTCATACTCTGTGCCTTGTTAGAAAAGTGTCTCATGGAGAAAAAACTCTGAACGACGGTTTGCTAGAGCAAACATAACTCTTAGGTCACCCATATATCGTTGTAAAAGTTATTAACTAAATAGCTAATAGAACAGATGCATTTCAATATCTATAGGAACTTAAAAGTTTACGTCAATTTTCATAACAATACATACATGCTGGAAAAAGAAGTCAGTATAAAGGGACAGTTTCTAAATAACCCCGATCTTGCCGCCACAAAAATCATGTTGGGTGTAAATTACTTTCTTAAAATGTACGCATGTAGGTAACCTCATAGTTTTGGTACGATGTAAAGTTTCGCTTTCTGAGGGTATATAATGTATTTAACTAAAACACGACGACATTTTCGTTTGATATCTCCTCAGCTGTTGTTTGTTTTGAGTTTCACATAAGATTTGTTCTATTATGTTGAAGCAGTTATTTATGTTTCTTAAACTTTACTTGAAAACAACCACAGAATTAAAGAACTGTTTTTCTGTGAGTACTTCTAGAAAAATCCAGCATCATAAGAGGTGTCATAACAAACATGCCTTGAGGAAGCAGACAGCTGCATCCCATCAATCACGATACCAATTATTTATATCATAGCTGCTCACACGGAATGTTTCAAGTGCCGTGAGGTCAACAACCCACTGGATTGCAACACAACAACGACATGCGCCAAACTGGACGAAGTATGAATCATGCAAATTAATTATCCTAAACATGCTTGAACAAATTTTGTTGTGTGCATTACAACTGGTTTACGATTGGATAAACATTGTGCTGTCTTGTGACCGGAAGTATAGATTCATTTCATATGTGATAATTATCATGAATCGGCATAAGTATATGTTTTAATTTCTACGGAAGACGTTATTATCAAGTTTTAATGTTTAGTTGTGATGATATTCATAAATCTACTACCACAAAGAAAACAAGAAGATATGGTTGGATAACACTTTTCAACAGATATTCCTATTAGCTTTTAGGTTTTATGGTGAAGTTGCTTCCTACTTCCTCGTGTTGGCTATTGTTTGATTTTGGGAGGAATATCATTTGTTTTTCTGACACAGACATTGTATGAATATGTATTTACAAAGCGGTATATATAATAAGTACATGCTTTTCGTCTATTTACTTTTACGGCAGATTTGATTCCATGGGGTTCTCTTATTGAACAATAGAACTGAAATAATTGATTAAAAATAGAAACCACCTTTTACCAATTTTTGAAACCAATTCGTTCATTTCTGATTAAACTTCTAATAATGTTGTTTGGATATTATTTACTTGAATCTATCTATACTGGTTGTTTTGTTACAGACTTGTATTGTCAGTGAGTACTCAGACAGTTCTTCACACGTACTCTATAGAATGGGATGTGCGCCGAAACAGGTACTGATATTTACACAATTTCCTAATTTTGAGAAATAAACAGAAATTAAATGACTTTAAACAACACTATAAAGTAATTACATGCCCTGATGTTTTAACTACTAAGATGAATAATTTATGCATCAGTAAAACAAAAAATAGAACATTCATTAAAAATTCATCAGCATGTGATTGCTATTCTTCACAAATCGGAATTTCAATTATATTCTTCTGACCCTGTTAATGTAGATTTGAGCAGTGAATGTTCTTTATATCGCTAAGGCGTATTATTTTTTGTCTTTCGTTTTATAAGCATTGTGATATACATTTCTTTTAGTGTGAAATATTACATGACAGTATTAATATCTATTCAGTGTTTATCGTGGTCATATTGTCATTAACATATTTGTTTTCCTGTTTTAATTCAAACCTAGATATGTGTAGACCACTTTGATTACAACGACACTACAAAAACAACAGAAACACAAACGCCTGTCGACCAAGTCAACGGCGCGTGCTGCGGTACCAACCTTTGTAACAACCAGACCCCCAGGAGTCTGATAAGTGCCGGTAACACAGGTACACTTCTTTACATAGATGGCACTAACGAAATTCGACTGATATCTACAAAGTACGTTAGCAGATTTGCAGTTAGCAAGATGTTGAGATATTCCGGACAAAAACATCAAATTTTGTCTACATGTTACTACTCACTAAGCTTTTAACTTTCAAAAACATCCATTTTATCCACGCATTATATGTTGTCCATCTTGGATTTTCCAGATGTCTACCACACTAACAAGTGCTTATCTCTTTGGTTCCAATTCACGTAGGTTCTCTCTCCCGGTGCCTAATCATACAGATTCTGTGACAAGGAATGCAATTATACATTTGCCAAACATCACCAGGGCTCGTATTCATGAAACTGTTCTCATGCTCAAGCATGGATATTGTGCTCGAGCCAAATTTCTGATTCCGTTTATAAATGATTAAAAACTCTTATTTTGCCAATGTTTTGGGAAAAAATTGAAGAGACCTGAAAAGGAATACAGTTTTGAACGTTAACAATTGACATTTCGATCGTTTGACATTATTTCAATGAGTACAAAAAAGTTATTTCGAGCACAGAATCCATGCGCACAGAATCCATGCTTGAGCACGAGAACGGTTTCATGAAAACTGGCCAAGGTTATTATTTGTACAAATATAAGATATTTTGTGTAATTAAACGAGTATAATCAGTTTTCAAGATCTGTCAGGTTATGGGCATTGTCTATGAGACCCAATGAGACGTAATTACCGATGTGCTTTAGTGATAGGGGATAACCAACGTATATGGACATGTTGTTGTGGACATGGTTCAATGTCAATTTTTCGTTGAATACAATTTTTATGTAATTTAGGTATTCAGAAATTTTGTTACGGTGGGTTGTACAATAATCTGCATTTTTTTCAACTCTTCCGTGATCAGCAAATAATATAATGTCATTGAAAAACAAAAACGATAAAATGAGACCTAGTATGGATCCCTGTGGACCACCTGTCACAATATATAAGTGTGTTAACACAATTCCTGTTTTAAGTTAAACATTTCTTTCATACTGCACCAAGCTTTGAGTTGACGTTGACTTATGCATTACAACGATATGATCTACAAGGACAAATGCTGATTAACAAACCATAATTTTTCATATCAATTTCAATAAACATGTGTGACTTAAACAAGATTCTAAAGAACTATTGAAGTTCATATTTACTTGGGTAACAAAGTTATTTGATACATATGGTCTCAAGAAAATGTATCATATTTCTTTACCTACTGCCTATATTAATGTGAATTTCTACACTATTTTTGTTTCGTTTTATTGTTGATTGAGTAAAGTGGTTTGTCTCCTATTGATTTTTTGACCATAGTGGCACATATCTTGTTACAAAAACTTAAATGTAAATGAACTGTAACAATACAAAGGGGTAGAGAGAGGAGACTATCGAGAACAATGCTGCACATGCCAACCTGTTCTGTTGTTCTCTCGTTTAACTTTAACTATAAAACATTAAAACAATATGTTTGACATGCATAGATCAAATAATTCTGGTACTTATGTAAAGTGAAACTCTTCACAATCTGGCTAAACAGCAAATCACTTCTGCCATACATCTTAAATGGAGAAAAGTTATTGACAATAACATTTATATCTTAATCTGCATTTGTCCTTGTAGATGATAAAGTTTTTTGAAATATATTGAAATTAATGATTATGTGAAAACACAGCTTGCTTCGGGTTAAATTATACACAGTGCCACATTGACTTCATATTGTAACAGGTGCTCCACAGTGGTCCAATCTACGTCCCCTTTTATCTATTTTGTATATCATTTACCGTATGTTATATCAAAAACGCAAAATAATTGATATGTATGCAGATGACTCCATAATTAGATTTAACAGGGTAACTCTTGAATATATTAAACAAGCAATTTGACCTACTGAAACAAGAAAAAAATAAGTACAGCCCCCCACATTCAGGCCAATGCTACAGCTATGGTTTATTGTTGAGATTTGGTGAAGGTATATTTAGTGAAAACTTGCCAATAGGTTGTGCATACTAAAATCTTGATCTGCATACAAAATTTTGGTTGCAAATATAAAACCAACAGACCCTTCCAAATCATTATTCCCAGTTTTTCAGAAAAAAACAATGACTACAAATGGTGCTTTACAAACAATGTGACCTTTAATTAGCATAAAAACACTTGCATATATGTAAACCCGCTATGATAAGCAGGTTGGTAGTATGCAACTACATCTAAATGATCAAGACAGTGCACAATCAAAAGACAATGGGCCGACATAGACAAAGTCCTCAGCTAGACGAAACATGAATATAATCATACTCTAAATTAAATTAAATTTATTAAATAGAAATTACCGGATGTTATTCGGAAATGTAGATGTTAAGGCATGAAGATGGAAAACCTATATGGGCTGGAACCAAAGAGATTGGTAGATTTAGGTTTTGATATGGCCGCAATCATTTATATCTATGATAGTAAACATATCATACATGAGAGGCAAGGGCATAATATGAGATATTTTTTGCAAGAGTTTTTATATCTTGTTAGATCTGGGTCTAAACTATATTGTTGACTATAGAGCGCGTTCATTTCTCTCCAAATGTAGCATAATCCTTCGTTCCCAAACATGATGCCTGCAAAAACGAATCCTTTGAAGGTTCATAAATATATTATTTAATTATTATTTTTTAATTGTGTATGTCTGAAAGGAAGCGTTACAATCTTATTTACTTAAGGATCCCTGTCCCACTGCACTGCACTTTTCCCTATATACATTACCCCCCCCCCTTAACTTCCTTAAGGATCCCTGTCCACTGCACTGTGGTTTTTCCTATATACATTAACCCCCCCCCCACCCTCCTTAACTTCCTTAAGGATCCCTGTCCCACTGCACTGTGGTTTTTCCTATATACAGTGACATCCCCTTAACTTCCTTAAGGATCCCTGTCCCACTGCACTGTTTTTTTCTATATACAGTGACCTCCCCTTAACTTCTTTAAGGATCCCTGTCCCACTGCACTGCAGTTTTCCCTATATACATTATCCCCCCCCCCTTACCTTCCTTAAGGATCCCTGCCCTACTGCACTGTGGTTTTTCCAATATACAGTGACCTCCCCTTAACTTCCTTAAGGATGCCTGTCCCACTGCACTGCAGTTATTCCTATATACAGTAACCTCCCCTTAACTTCCGTAAGGTCAGTTGGGCAAGGAAACTGCCGTTGTCTTTGTAGCTCAATCGGTAAGTGCAGTATAACAATCTGAAGTTCGGGGTTCGAATCCCGGTCTAGCCCCAATAATATTTTACACTCAGAACATTGTCGTTGCTTACATTTTTCATTTTATCTTTATAACCTCTTTTTAAAGTATCGCAAGGAATGGTTTTCTTTTCAAAAAAGATTACTCAAAGCTAAAGTTATGTCGGTAAACAGTCCCCAATACTTAGTTACAGTTTTGGGCGTTGTTACGGGGACCCGTATTATTATATAATTCAATTTAATAACATAACATTTATTATGGCGCTCTTTTTGCTTCTGTTTCTGTATTCCCACCACAATCATTGTTCATAGATAATACAAGCGTACCTGCGTCTACCGAAGTCCCAAACAGACTGTCTGACAGTCTGTACGCCAGGTCGGAGTCGGAGTGTGCCGACATGTGGCCAGACATATGTAATACCCTGCTCCAAACTGTCCCGAGTATTTGTGAAGTGCCTTGTGTAGCAGCTCTCGTGTGTCCTCGGACATGTCTGAGATGTCGTAAGTATGACATAAATATGTCAATGAATTTTGGCAAAAAAATGCCCCGATCCGGTTGCGAAATTTTGATTGGGATAATATCTTTGGCGTCTTTGGCTAAAATATCACTTTTAGGGTAACATTCTAAATCTGTTTTCATTCATTATCATGATACAAACTGTATCATTAATCTTCAATTTTAATTTTATATTAAAGATGGAAAATTAATGTGATGGTGGTAATACTTCTATATAGTACTTCAAGCAAAATACAAATCTGTTTCTATTGTAAACCGGACATTTTCGCCGCAGTTTTACTTTAGCCCTTTTCGCTCTCGATATTGAGGGCGAATTCATCTTGGTGTCAAAGAGTAGAACACACAGGCTACTTTGCAACTGTGAAGGGCGAAATCACAGCAAACATGGAAAAAAACGGTGAAGGGCTAAATTAGCACACAGCAAATATGGACTTTAACGATGAAGGCCGTAAATTGGCATTAATCGAAATGGATATTAATAATGAAAAGCCGAGTAAACAATGGGAGAATATTTCCTTTCTGTTAACGTTTCCTTGTATACAGAACCCTTCCTGCTCATATGTTTTTTTTATTGCTAAAACTGAAGTAAATATACTGTGAATACTTAAATATCGATATAATGTAAGTCACATATATGGTGTCGTATAAACTGTTTTAAAAAATATCTGTATTTCAGTGTCGTGCCATACGTGTGCACGTGCTAATCGACCATCAGGATGTAACCAGACCATGATCTGTGAACAAGGCCAGGTAATTTCTATATTTAGTTTGACCTGACTACAAACGACTTTTGAAAGTATCTGGGATCATCCTGTTATAAGAGCCGAACTCATTATTGCAAAGGCAATTTTTGAGAAATATCTGAAAATTTAAAACAATGTATTTATTTTCTTCACATAATTATTTTGAATTCCAAAGCAAAAAGATTTAGATTTTAATTTCAATATTTTGGAATATATGAAATGTTTTTATTTACATGTCATTTAACTGATGTTAAATAGTCCGGGGTAAATCAGATAGACTGTACTTTCTGGAAAGCATAAAATACATCAGGTTAAGAGTGTCTCATTATCATAAAGGGAGAAGTAGCAATTTTTAAAGGCATTTGTGAACATTGATGACAAAGAGAGGCGATGGTAAGTTTTTGTGTCCGTTGGCATTTCGTCTCTGGCTACAGCACACCACGGCATGAGGTTTATATCTGGTTCCTTGTCAAAGAGAAGTAACTCGCGAATCTCATCTGAGCATTATCGCTGCACAAATACTGTTTAGACGGATTACAAATTTATTGTATATACATCTACACATCAGTTGCATGTCTTTTGTAGTGTAAATCTACATCACGTTCACAACAATGATAAACTAATAATAACTAGGAATCGAATAGACAACATAAAAACCAAACAAGTAAAATATATAAATACATTTTATTAAAAATGAATAAAAAACCAAATACATGACTTATCCCTTTAAACCATGTGCTTTGGAAGAATAATCGTTTCCTGACCAAATGTAGTGTCAAACGTCAGCAGCAATCTAAGACATAAAACGAATATTCAATAAATAGAATCCTTGTGATATTGCGGGAAATCAGATGACGAACAGAACAATTCTTCAGTGTGTATTGCATTCACTCCTATAGGAAACCTTGACTTAAGTATTTCATATCAGAACTTGGAAGCAGTTGTTGACAAGACACCCAGGGAAGAAAAGATGAAATGAAATATAAATCGGCCTTATTTTGTCGGCCATTACAGCTAATAATTTGACCAAATGTTCTCTATTCTAAAGCTTACGTTGCAAAACCTGTAGGCGGACAGGTAAACCTGATACTTTATACATTTCGTTTGCTAAATTTGTTTTGCTGTTTTGTCATTCTAGCTCTGTTACTCTATAAAGACGCTCAGTTCGATGCTTGAACATGGATACCGCCTTGGATGTATGGATAAATATGTATGTGTTTCGATTTGCAAGTTATTTCTAAATCATCACAATCTGTTTGTGCTCCTGATCAATTTGTTTGTTTGTTTGTTTGATTTTGTTTAACGTCCTATTAACAGCTAAGGACATTTAAGGACGGCCTCCCCTGTGTGCAAGATGCATGCGTGTAGTGTANGAAAGAAAGTCTGTTGTCACACCAGGACCTGAACCCGAAAGAACAGGCCCGGCACCAAGACTGTCCCCAACGACAGCACCACCTGGAATGCCGGGATCACTGACAGAGTCAGTGACCGGCGGCCGGTAGTCCCTACCCGAAGGCAAGCGCGAAAGCTTACGGGCGTTCCCGGCCAATTCGACCCTTGGCTGTGCCAAGCCAGGGTCAGGCTGCCCCTCCCCTACTCCAGGGAGTTCCTGGACAGGAAGGGCCACCCCCTGCTCACGAGAGGGACTTGCCGAAGCAAGACCCCCCGAGACAGGAACAGAGACAGTACCACCAGACCCCAGAGAGCTGGTGGCACGACCCCTACCTCTCTGCTTCCCTCGCTTACCGGAAGAAACAGACGAATCTGTCTTACGGTAAGTTGAGGGTAGCTTTGGAACAATGAAGTCCTTGCCCTGAGATTTTGACTGTGAACAAAGTTCACAAGGCGAAACCTCACTGCAAGGACGACACCTGGGACAGGCATCATGAGGGTCCCGTTCCACAAAGAAATGGGAACACCCATGAGCACTACCTCGTCGCTGTCCCGACCGAGACATACCCTCCAAAGCGAACGTAAACAAAAAATTTACAAGCAGATAAAACGGGAAAATAAGGTTAAAATACGATAGTACAAAGTACGCAACGTAGAAAGAATTTCACCCGTAATATAAATCAGAAAACGGTTAAAATAAATAACGTTTGCCGAAACAAACAACCGTCACCGAAATAAACAGAGGTCGGAAATTAACCCACGATAATGGCGGACCGTGGCACACCACCGGCACACGTGGAGTAAAATAACCGGCCGTAAAAGGCACAAAAATAATTTTCAACAACAATTAGTTATATCAATAAAGGCAGATGGGTATAAGGCACACAAACTGCGCAAAAATATGAGTTGACACTCAAACCAAACCGACAAAACAATGTTTTGAATTGGAGCAAGCTCCGTGCGTCAGCATGCAGCAGGCGCCATAAAAGGAAGAGGAAGGGAGATCACTCCGTGGCTCTGTCATCGAGATAGAGGTTACGTCACGGTAGGGAGGTAGGGATATTTGAATCTTTTGTTTTTGGGCTACAAAGATGGGTGTAGGTATTGTATATGCATACTAAAGTTATGGTAATTATTACTGAAATGAAATACCATTTTTAAAGACTTTGGTATGTCTCGGCCAGGGGACAGAACCCAAAGCCTTCCTCATAGGGGCGAACGCTCAACAAATGGCCAAAAGTGAGGCATTGTCAAGGGAGACATTAGGAAGAAGAAACTTATTTAGAAAGAGAGAAGAGATAAGGTCCCAAATTTAGTCGCCTCTTACGATCATGCAATTTGGGGCAGCAGGTACAATTCTTACGCCCTACCTGCAGGGTACTCCTGATCAATCAAACAAGAACTAGAAAATTAAAAGAAAACTTTCGGAATGAGATTCATCAATTTGGTATGAATAATAGATAATGCTACGTTGATTTGAAAACAGTAATTGAAAACTTATTTTGCGAGCTTCGTAAACGCCTGCTTCCTTTGTCGAGCAAAGAGTCAAATGACCGATGACTCGACACTTAACCATTGAAACCACTCACCTAGCCCCAATGTGCCGCATCAGAAAAGTCAGCTGTTAGAATTTGCGTCAAAATAATGCTCTAAAACTATTATAAAAATACTTCTTGATGAATGGGAACAGAATGAAGATAGTTCACTTTTAAAAATATGTGGTATTTATAAATAGATGTTATTTGTAAAAACATATGTCATATTCAGTCAAATGTGTATTTACTTTATAGCTATATAAGCATTGCGATTATCAGATAAAAAGAAATATTTTTACTGAAATTATGCGTTTGTGACGTCATTTCTTTGAGATCTGCGACAGATTCCACAAAGAAGCGCCCATAGCTTTCGGTCGAAGGCGGCAGTCGTTGGAGTTGTCCCTACACGGAGGTTGTTGTTCCACCGACCTTTGTAACAACAGGGAACTAAGGGGCGACGTGGCGACAGTGTCTGCGTCGGCGGCCTCATCTACGTCGACGATGACGACGTCATCCGACTCTGGGACATCAACAACAGCAAGGTGTAGTGTATTCTTTCCTAATACTAATTACAAGTGTTCTGGATAATCGATGTTTCCCAAGATCGATTCAGTAAATTTCAATAGTCCAGATCTACACTTATCCTCTGATGGAATTCTGCAAATATACCACGTTTTTCTCTCTTGATTTGTTTGGTTTTATGATTTTTTTCTGGTTTAAAGAGCATTTCTTAAACTTGTTTCAAATCCTGCTTCTATTGACCTATATAATTTGAATCATTTTGTGTTTGTAATTTTCGGTATAACTTTGAAATTGAAATATTTGAGTATTACCAGAGCAAGTGTGTAAGTATGTTGGAAACTTACCTTAAAAAATGCAAATCTCTGAAAATATTTCAATGACAATATCTGCCGGTGTTGAAAAGTTTCTTTTAGAAACCAAAGTGACCTGTTCGATATGTAATTGCAAAATTAAGTTTAAAAGAAAAAGTGACTAGTTTAACGCGATTTCATACGTATGCAGTTTGACTCTCTATTAAGATTATAATTAAATAGAGAATGTCGTCGTTGTTCATAGCAGTATATACCTCCATATTCCAAACTCCATTTAAAAATAATAAGGAATTAATCATTTACTCATTTTCTTATTGATAAAAAATGAAATTAAAAACATTTCTCACTTTCTTTTTAAGAACTGATACCTCAATATCAACGTCTGAAATAGAAGTTTTAAGCATTTTAACACGTTTTTAATTTGCTTTACTTTGATTTCGTTTTATTATATTCCAGCATGTCCTGCCAGCCGTACGACGTGTTCTGATGACTTCACGCGACACGGAACAGACTGTTACCACACCAGTAGACAGAGTATGGATTGGGAGAGTGCTAAGGTAATATACATTATGTGTTACAGACGACAGTAGTATTCCCGAAACATAACATAAACGGCTAGGTATATTTTTGTTTTGAGGCTTTATCAACACAGAAAAAAATCATGTATTGTAGGGTTACTGCCATGAAAAATGTGCCGCCCTTGTAAAATTCCCCACAAGTGATTTCGCACTCCAGGTGTTGCAGCAGCTGTATGTTAGTGGTGGACGTAAGTAAATTAAAAAATAATATTTTTTTAACCAATTTTGTTTTTCAATTTTTCTTTATTTATTTCGATATATATCAGGAAACGTTACAATCGTCTCCACTTAATTTGAGTTGGTTATTTTTGAAATGAGAATAAATATCTAAACAATAATTGCAAGCCTTTCCCGAATCATTTTTCTCCATTGCTACGTATGCCATCTCTTCTGTTCTTCCGTTGGTGCTACATGTAACATGATAACGTCTTCTTGCAGTCGCAGAGTTATACTTCATGGACGCTCAGTACAATCTCCACACTGACAGCTGGAAGTGGAGTAGTACCGGCGAGGCTGTACCCAACTCTCTTCTCTCTCCACCCATCAACACAACTGATATGTGTGGTACAGTCGGTGTCCGACGCTACTACCACGGGATCGACGTATATTTCAAGTCGACCAACTGCTTATCCAAACTTCCTCCGATTTGTCAAAAATCTCTCTCTAAATAAATAAAAGGGTTTTTTTTCTGAAGATTTGTTGCTTCATGATATAACAACCCGTTGTTATGTATAATTTTACGATAAAGAATAACAACCTGTTTGCCTCATTAAAGTATATATTTTTTAATCGTATTTATGTTCTGTAACCTTTAATACATCAATAAAATATGTACTATATAATGTAGTTATTTTATTTTCAAAACTATAAACAGTCATACACATTCAAACATGCAATATATCTACATGCAACTAATTTAATCATGTAACAACGCGTTGTTTCAGTTACTTTGAGCAAACAAACATACACGCAAGTGTTATACACAATAAAAATTTTTTTTTTGCTATTTCAAGCCTAGTTGCCCAAGGCTAAGAATCACAACCCATGGCGTGAAGCGAAGAAGAACGATGGTGTTCTAACAAGGATTATGACAATTCTTTGCAAGAATACTTACCGTCAAGCTGTTTCCTTTAAATATGACTTGGTAATCTGAAACAACAACCCGGATTAAATGCCTTCTCCTGTTGTACTACTGTCGAACCTGTTGAAGAAACCACCTCTATTAAGGGACAACCTGTTTTAACAGATCATTTTTAAGCTCCTGATTGTTGTGGTTTTCGTGTAAACTAAAAGGGACCATCTGCAATAAGACACCACATTGAGGACTTCCCAAAATAGTCACTGGAAGGATACAGAAAGCCGAACAAAGTAAACAAATGTGGTCTTTGTAAAAGCACTTGACTGTATTAAACAACAAAGCACTACCTGACTTCATGACAAATAAAACAAATGTTCTATTAGATAATAATTAGTATCAGGAAATACTATTCAGCTTAAATTTCAATACAATTGCGACATAAAGGGACATAAAGATAAAAAATGCATTTAATTAGATATTGACACGTTCTACTTAATATGCATAGTGATGTAATCGTTATATAAATGTGATTAAATTCTCTTTGACACTCGTAGACAACACGTGAACTATATACTACTACATAATAAATACGTGAATAATATGACAAATGGCACGCGTGAACACCAAATAAAGTTATATTGAACTTGATCTACTTGTAAGCTCCAATATAGGTCTAAATATGTGTCAGATCAAGTCTAAGATAAGGCCAACATCGTCTTCAGATAAGAATGTCTTAAGTATCACTATATTTACTCGGCTTACATTTGTGTACACTTGGCAGCAGAGGTCGATCAAAATGTTGGTCCAAGTAACAGGTAAAAATATATTACTCATGTTTATATCATATTGATTTATAAACTTTTCGAGGAATATTATAATTAGTAGTTGGTGTCGGCAATCATTATTTGACAGAATAAATGGCCCTTCGCTATCTGAATATATATAAATACTAAACTTTGTACAATGTAATGCATAGAATGTGCCTTTAACAACTGAATCATAATGCTTAACTTTGAAAATTAGAACAGGCTGAGAAAGGGGAACATCATTGCTCGTACCCTCTCCTTCCGAACAATCTTGCATTGCCTCATGGTAGATTAACTTTATTATTATTGTCTCTCTCTTTTGATGCTTTGCTTTTTGCTTTTATGTTTCTTACTTTTTCGTATCGATTTTACCTTTCCATTCTGTCCCTGTAGGTAGTAGTGTACATTTTTTAAAATCATGCTAATATTTATTCTGATAATTTTTTACGGGGATATTCAGATCGCAATATCGAATTTTATTCTTAACTACGGTAAAGTCAGGATTTTATTGTTTCAAAATCTGTTGCTTAGTGTTGGTGTTAGTGCTCGGCCTGGCCAACGGTCAGACGACATGTGCAGACGCGGTCGACCCAAACATTTGTCGTCTGCTGGCATCTGAGTCATTTGGATTGAAAGATGTCTGTACGGACCCTTGTCTTGCAAGGACCTGTCAGAAAACATGCGGAAAATGTCGTAAGTCTGAAATGATTTAATTTACTTTTGAACAAATATATACAGGAATTTCTTGAAAATGTGTTTCTGATGGGGATTGAGGGGTGTATTGGATGACAAAAAAGGTGTGCTTTTCTAATATCAGATCTTAAAACATCGTATGTTTTTTGTACAATCATTTCAAATATTGCTTGGTTGACTTTGGTATGGGGAAAATCTTTGTAATATAATAAACAAGAGTATGTGGGGTGAAATACAGGTTTACATGTATGATTCTCCTCTTTGATTGAGTTCTTCTTTGTTTACTTTTCTTTTAATTTCTTTGCAATATTGCAGATTTATTGCATATAAGGCAGATTTCAGAGCCTAGCCTCTTTGGTATATAATTATTTTCCTTCACTTCTTGACGATCTTTTCTATCAGACTTCTATAGTCCTCTTTATTGACAGCGCTGCAGTGTTATTCCTGTCATAATGTGATGTCACCGGATGACTGCCAGAACATAATCACCTGCCCGTCCGGAGAGCACGTGAGAATTGCCACTGGTCAATGGGATCGTATAATAATCCAAATTATTTCAAATGTTCACAAAAAAAAAATCTGAAGATTTTCAAAATAAGATAGACATTTGTTCCTTGAACATTAGGTACCGAACTCTATTTTCATTGGAATACTTTAAGATATAAAAACATAACACATAACGACAATTCTCATTTGTCAGTTGCCGTGTAGGATATTTTAGTTTTAGCAATACTTCTTTACTCTCAGAATTATGTGTTGGTATACAGCCAAGTTTATTCCGAAGTTTGTTGAGATTTCGATATGTTCAAATGCAGCTTACAGAATGGCACCGACATCTTCAAACGTAGCGTCAGAATCTGGTTTCTAGGCAACCAGATTGTAGTTTTAGAAATGTTTCCTCCAATAAAAACATTGATATACTGTATTTGTTTTGATATTATCTTCTAGAACTGCATCGCTACGGAGTCGTATAATGACAATTTTGAGAAGGTGTTCCAGCTCGGATGTGCCTTGAAAGACGTTAGTATATAAAATAGAATATCTTATTTAAATATAAAATGTTTTGTATATTTGCGAAGTATTTTGTTATGATAATTTATATTGATTTAATATTACAGTTACGAGAGGAGATGGTCAGTGACAGCCATATTTATAACACTGGTACAATTATTTGGATAATAGATAAAAAGTTTTGAAATAAATTTTGGATAGAAAGTGCTATTTTATTAAACATGCAAACCTTTTATAGTTTTGTGGTGGGTCTGTCTCAACTGCATCATCAGACTGTGCTAATGATACTTCATGACGTCATCACATTTTGTCATTAATTGTTCTATGATGTCATACTGATTTCTGAATTGTATTGTCATGGCGTCATCAGAATGAACGAGCTATGGTATTTAAAATCATTTTGTTTTTGTTAATCGCATTAATTATCTTGACGTAATCAGGTATGTCAGAGAAATTTTGGAGGCCCCACCGGTAAGCGATCTCAACTGGATGGCGGCTGCTGCGGGGCTGACCTCTGTAATCACAACATCTCCAACACTCCGTCCACAGCCCAGCCACTTGCGGGTAAGACATCCAAACTACATATCGGCAAACATCGTAACTGTAACAGTGGTATATATATATATTTAAATATGTTATGAGTCGAACCCGTGACTATAATTTGTGCAAGTACTAGTACTCAAAAAGTAAACATCTTCTAGTCAAGATCGTTACAGCGAACAAGATAGTTTCAATTTCTGACATAACAATATAGTTTTTCCGTCACATTTGACTTGTTAGTAAAAAAAGGTCAAGATTAAGGAACGGTATTTTGAAATTAAGACAATAATAATCAACAAATGAATAGGTAAGCTCTTTGGACAAGTCCAAGGAGAATAAGACCTGGTGTTCCGGAAAGGTAAGCGTCGTCTGTTTCATCGGCAACGTTCATCAGGTTATTATAGGTCAGTTCAACTTTATGTCACGTTTTTACATTTCCGTAAAACCCAGTCAAATATTCGCTTTTTACTGGTAAAATCCATATTCACCCAGAGGTTATTTCGCCAATCACGTGTTATTGCTATTCATGACATGCCGTGTATTTACATTCGTTGTCGTGATGAATTCACCCTCATTGTGGAAAACAAAAAAAGGCGAAATTAAACCGAGGCAAAAATGTCCCGGTATACAGTGACTAAACATCTTATAATAAAGTGTGTATATTTTACCGTAGGAATTGTTCTGACGACCCCTGCAGCCACTCTGGCTCCAAACTCCATCCAACCATCTGCCGTTACCATGTCTCCTACTGTACCAGCAAGCAGTCCATGTGCCGACTTTAACAATGAATTGTGCACACAGCTTGCGTTTGCAATGCCTGATATTTGCTCAAACGATTGTATCGCCTCCAAGGTGTGCCCCTCCATGTGTGGCAAGTGTTGTGAGTATTCTTATTTGAAGCTCTGGGACAGCTACTCGATAAAAAGATTAGGTTTGCCATGAACAAAGTATACTATCAAACAACTTTTGTGACGTAAATATTTCTTAACATGAACCTGAAAAAAAACTCTTTTTCATGTTCATATTGTACCAAATCTACCGCCATGAAAGTCCATAACTGTTATATTATATTCATAAATAAATAAAGAAGAACGAATCCTAATTTGATTGCTTGGCTGCAAGGCTTTCTGTCATATTACAGCATAGAAGAACCACCATACTGACCGATACAATATAATTTTTATATTAAAAGATAAGCAAACGTATAATAAGCGTTTCAAATGATATATTTTCTAGACAGGGTTGATTCCCCTAAAGGATATATTTAGAGATCAAAATTCACCGGAAATTTGGTTTGCAAGACTTTTTGAGAACTGGTCATGTTTTTGACCCGGCCAATGGGATTGCGAAATTTATTTAAGGTATAGCATAACTATCTATAATGATAAGTTGATAGGACACTATTATGTATCAAAATATTTTCTTAGCGGATTGTACATCTCGTAATAAATAAGATTTGTGTTTAATTATGTAAATATGTAATGGTGTATATCTTTGTTCGTCCTACATTAACAGTGTCTTGTTTCAACTGCGACAATGTGCAGAATCCTTCGGACTGTCAGTCAACCGTTACCTGTAGATCCGGTCAGGTATGTTATCTGACTTTCCAGTCCCAATTTACTATAGCCACGGTCAGGTAAGTCGGTTCTGTCAATGAATAGAATCCGTAACCTGTAATTCTGCCTAGATTAGCTATTTCTGTCATTATATAGCGTCCTTTACCTGCATTCTCAGCCAGTTTGATTGTATCCGTTCCGTATTAGCGATCGTTACCTGTAGTTCCGGTCAGGTAGTCTGTTTCTGTCGGTATATAGTGACTGTTGCAAGTCAGGTAATCTATTTCTGTCAGAAAATAGTGACTACCACATGTAGCACCGTTCAGGTAAGCTATTTTTAACACTACATGTATGTAGTAACCATAATAGTAGTTCCGGTTTAGTAAGTTGTTTTACCACTTTGAAGTAACCGTATCATTTAATTCCGCACAGGTAAGCTATTGTAATTACTATATAATGACCGAAACCATTAGTTCCAGTCAGGTAAGCTATTTTAACAATATAGAGTAATCGCCGAAACAGTTCATGATTTGTAAATTATATCTATCACCATAGAGTGACCGTTACATTTAGTTCTGGTCAGGTAAACTGTTCGGTCAATAATTTGTATAGTGACCATTACCCATAGTCATTGCTCAGTAAGCTTTTTTGTCACAGTCAGTGACCGTTACCTTTGTTGGTTCTACAATGCTTTATAACAATCATAGAAGGATGCAACTATTTTTTTCGTCTATTTTTTAGTGAAGATTCCGAATATTAAAAATGTCGTCGGTGATGCCAATATGATGTCACAATATATAATAAAATTAGGGACTAATTCGGAAAATTGTATTACCTATTACCGTGATTTGTTTGGGGCATGTCGGCCACTCAGATCCTCACAGTACCGTAACGGTTTAACAAATTCAAGTGCATTCTTTCTGCGGGGGAACAAACCACAACACAAAATATGTAAACAGTATTTGTAAGATATATAGTATTACCTTATTCGAAACGAAATGTTTTGGGTCCAACTGTGGCCAATACCACAACTACAGTTGAATTTCCGGAATACTAGTAAATAATAGTTTTTAAGAATTAAAGTAGAGAACAATACCAAATTTCTAAAGCATCCCCCCACCCCTACCAAAGCAAAAACCCGTAGAAAAAATGTTTAAGATGTCAAAGTATCTCTTATTTTACAGAGATGCTACATAACAGAAACCTATAACACTATGACGTTTGAACATGGATTCCGGACAGGTTGCATCGACGACAAGGTGAACAAATTCATAGGTTATAAACAAAAAGATTTTTATTGTATGGTGATATATATTTGTCACTGGTATTCTGGGTTAACTTAATATCCATCATCATTTGATTATTTCAGATGATGATTTGACTCTTTCAGATGATTCGTATTAAAAGTCAAATTATTTTAACGTAAATAAGAACTAAAAAATAATAATAGTAAGCAATATTTGCCTGAAGACATTTTTATTCTTAGGGATATTGTGCTTTTCTTGATAGATACACGAACACATGTTGTTCGGCAACATTCACTGTTCGTGTGCAACTTTGTTGTATAGACAATCTTGCTTGAATATACATCATTGAATATCAACAGTTTCTAATCTGACATTCGGAAACATTTTTTGTATGTATACAGCTGTGCTCTAACCTGACATACGGAAGCCCTGTAAGTGGGTCTGGTCCAGCTCTGATTGGTCGCCGATCTCACTTCCACTTGTCTTTGGACGGTGACTGCTGCGGATCCGACTTATGTAATGACAGGGTTCAGACAACACAAGCGCCCATAGCAACTACGCCGGGACCAGCAATCACCAACAAGCCCAGTGGACCAAGCGGTGCACCAAATCCCCAAGGTAATGAAAAACAATATTTATCTGTAATTTTGAAAATTAGATGGTTTTGATTTGATATAACTCCCTTAAAATTTTAAAATTTGGCAGATTTTCATTGTACTTGGGGTCGCCCTCTTGCTTCAGGCTGGAGAGAATTTACATTTAGACCAATAGGAAGATCGGTGGACTGGCAAGCTGGGAGTCATTGATTCGATAGGTACAAGGAAGCCTCTTTCTTTCCTGCTACAAAAATGATAAAATGATAACGGCTCATGAAATAGTCATTTATTAGTTAGGGTAATGTTGATTTGATAAGGAGAAGAATAGTTTGATTGTGCAAGTAACAGCTTTGTTTGAATAGTTTTCGATATTAAATTGGTAATGTGTAATTATCTTGTTTTTAGATCACCGATATTTGATTGATATTTGCATTTTTGTCTTTATATTTTGACGCTGTGGTATATTTTTGTCTTCCTTTTCTGTTTTGTGTTATCCACTGTAACATATTGTTTTGTCTTCTAATTTGCCTCGTATGTTGAAACTGTCATGTTTGTGTTCCCTGTTTTGCCTCTGATGTTAACAATTGATATATTGTTTTGTGTCTCGATTTCGTCCTTTTGTGTTGACGCTGTGGTATATACACTTATCTGCCGAAACTCAAACCTATTTTTTTAAAACCTACAATCACCCTCAAAACAGGTTGTTTGTTTAAGTTATATTTTACAGCCAATTCTGTTCAGTCGGAGTCCTTTTTTTCTGTACAGTGTTTTTAATATGTTGGCGCTGTGGTATATGTATCAACATTTGTATGGGCAATAAGACACTAAAGGGGAAAATATTATAACGATTCATTAAAAAGTAGAGAACAAATATGATTTTTTGTTTTTAATATAACAAAAGTTTGTAACTGGAACGGAGACTGTCCCCCTGGATTCCATGCCCACAACAGGATGTGCTATAACTTTGGTCCTACGGAAATGGAATGGGACGATGCGCTGGTAAATATTGTTTATACTATTCATATATAAGAATATCATTAACATTTATCATACTTTAGCGCTTTAGACACTTTACATTAGTGATGTATCTTGTTTATTTCATTGACAATGCCAATGGCACACACAACTTTTAAATAGAGCAGTGGTCTGCACAATGATTGAATGAATATATGAGAAATATAAAATATAATAAAATTGATAGCGTTGGTTTAATATGTTTTTTGTTATCTCTTAAATTAGCCTCCCCCCCCCCCTCCTAAAAAGAGAAAACAAAAGTGAACCCATATCGACCTACCCTATATTTTAGTCATGCTTCCTGAACAATACATACGTTTTTTTATACCTTATTATAATAGTTTATTTCTGTAAATGGTTGTGGACAGACTACGAATTCAACAATATTTTTAGTTACAACCAACTTGCTCATGCTGTGTATGTTTCTGTGTTAAATTATTTTCATCATGTATTCAAATTCTTTTTTATCATGTATTCATATTTACACCTAGGGTTATTGTAAAGAAAGATGTTCTCACCTTGCTGAACTGAAAACGGATTATCAACTACAGAACGTCATGAATTATTTCCGCCATCAGCCAAACTCAGGTATTGTTTTAATGTTTTGTGCGTGGGTCTACTTAGTTCCCAATTCAAAAATAGAAATTATTCATATCACAAAATGTATGTTTTCTATTCGTGATAAATATTCCTGTCGTTACAAAATAACAATAATTCATCGAAACAATATACCTGTATTTAAAAGTGATTTCTTAGGTCAATAATGTATCGAATTTGAAGCTACACGTGTTAAATTATTCAAGTGGTCGGGTGGTGCAGTGGATAGCGAACTTGTCTTTCACCAAGGCGGCCGGGGTTCGATTCCCCGATCGGGTTGGGGTCACCTGCGGGTACTCCGGTTTCCTCCCACACGCGATAACATCCGGGCCAACGAGAGTGATTAATATAAGTTGAAATAACTTGTTTCATAATTGTTGTAAAATAAATAAAGTTTATATATTTATATTTTATATTTAAATTATTATAAATAACCATAAGAAATGAACATAATTTTATCTGCAGCTTTTGCATAAAGATAATAACTTATGTCACGTTTTGTGTACGGTGTTTTGTTTGGGAGTCATTGGTGGCTTTGCTTTGTTTTCATTTTATTGGTGCTGTCTTTTACCTTGTCGTATAGTATGCTTAGTTTTGATCTTGTATGTAAGCAATGTGATGTGGGTTTTTTCATTAAAGTTTAAATAGTATTTTTTTCCAATTCATATTACAGTATACCGGAATATTTTCGCTGCAGTTTAATTTTCAATTTATTATGACAGCGAACAATATTTAACAACATAATTTGCATAGTAATTTTAAATGAAAGACTAAACGGTCACTGGGCGAAAACGGATTTTTCTGGTGAAGGGCGAAAGTTTGACTGGGCGAAATTTTACCGGTATACAGTAAAGAACTCAGTAATTTTGTGTAAAGTAAAGTAGCTTTATGTAAAACTGTCTTTGATGCTTCGCAGCTTTGCAATATCTGCATAGTTTGTTGTTTCTAAAATCGGAATATATCAAATTGCAATTATAATTTTTTTTTTTTAAAGTTTAGAAATTTCAATATATGTAACAAAACGGACTAAGTACCTAACCCTGCCATATACCTCTTCCACTGTTTTATATCTGTATTTTTTAAACTGATTGAACAAAGTGAAGAAAATAGGATGTGAAAACGACGTAAAAAACACCAATTTAGTTTTAATAATCCTTTTTGTAAGTAAGAGTAAGTTCAATCATGTTTCAGGATATCATCCACAAATGGATTATTTCACTGGGGCGGTGGAAACTGGTACCGACATATTTAAATGGATTTGGTATCACAGTGGTGATGCCGTTAGCTCTAGCGTTCTCGTCGCTTATATCAATAGCAAAACCCATTGCAGTGTTGTAAGACATATCGGGGGACCTAGCTTCCTGTTATCGCACAGACATTGCTATTATCCGTTTCGACCAATGTGTGAAGTTGCAATGCCGTCTCATTGATTGAGCTTTAAATGTTAAAAGGCCGGTACACAATATAAAAAACTTTTTTTTTTCGCACAAATTTGTTGGTTTATGTTTGTACTTCCGAAGAGCCAAGAAGGTTTAGCCGTGGCGCGGTGTCCAGCGTCCGTCCGTCCGTTCACTCATTTATCCGTACAACGTCAGCTCATTACTTTAAACGACTTCTTCTTAATAACCGAAATGCCTAGGGTGATGATATTTGGCAAGCACCATGATAGGATTATTTGCTATCAAGTTTGTTCAATTGAATGACTTTCACCTATATTCAAGGTAGCAAGGGTAAAAAATGTTACAAATTTCTACAACTTCTTCTAAATAACCAAAATATCCAGGATGATGATATATTTCGCTAGTAGAATGTTCGAATAAAGAGTTAATAACTTTGTCTAAATGAATGACTTTTACCCAGATTGAAGGTCAAACCTTTAAAAAACCTTCTTCATAATATTTAAAAGGTTTAAGATGATGGTGCATTGATTTGAATAGTACAATGCTAGGGGGAAGGAGCATAAAGTTTGTTCAAATGAATGACCTTCACAAGTTTGAAAATTACAGGGGTAAAATATGTTAAAATCCTTGAAATTATGTCGTCTAAATAACCAAAAGATATTAGGTAATAATAATATCATGCGCAGGTGAAGAGCTGCGTGGTGTAATCAAATAACTGACCTTCAGTTGTAGTCAAGGTCACAGGGTCAATGTGTTGAAAATATCTTAATGACTTTTCTGAAAAAACCCCAAATAGTCTTAGATGGTGCTATTTAGGCAGTAACAAGGTCAGATAACGAGCTACGACCTCTGTTCAAATCAAAGACATTCGCCATATATGCAATGTCACAGAGGTCAAGTGTCCTGAAAACATTTAAACTATTTTTCTGAACAAGCAAAAGGTAAAGAGTTTTGATAATTAGATAGTAGCAGGCTTAGAGGAATAGCTATCGTGTTTGGTCATGTGCATTCCCTTGACCTTCTTTCAATGTTACATGGTCAAATCGATGAGTGTAAAGATTTAAATTACATCTTCTCAATAAACAGACGGTCAAGGGTATTGCTATTTGGCAAGTAGCATCCTGGGATAAAGGACTCTAAAGCTATTTCAACTTATCGAACCTGTTGAACTTTTAAGGTCACAGTAGCAAAATGCTAACTTGCCTGTAGCTATATTTTAGGTTACAAGTATATGATTAATAGCAGGTGAGCGATGCAAGCCTATTGGGCCTCTTGTTAAGATTATAAATATTGACCAACCTCTCTGATTTGTGACTAGCATATACAACAGACAATCATGGTATCAATAGAGCATTAATGTGATGATGATTATCAAAACAAAATGCTCTTAGTTCTGCATTGGATTTATAAGACGACATTCTTGTGGCATACTTAGTTTTGCAGATTGATTTCATCGAGATAAACCGCGAAAATAATTTTGCATCATACAGTCTGCAAATGGGAATAATTAGGTCACGGTGACTTATATTTCAGGCTACGATGCTATGGAGGATTATTATATCGGAGCGGTAGACAGGGGCGTAGGGATGTGGACTTGGTTCTACAGCGGTGATGAGGTCGACAGAGACCTTATTACTCCAAGCTTCCACACACACAAATATGATCACTGTGCCACTGTATTTTTTGAAATCGACGACGATGATTCTGGAATCGGCAATGTCCTCTGTGACGAAGTGTTTAGACCGATGTGTCAAGTAAATCAAGCATAAATGGTATATCCATGGACGAAAAACAATATTGATTAAATTATTTGTATATTTGGAGATTGTTATTTTTTCTATATTTTTTCTCTCTTAATTTTTATGCCATTTTGGACGCATAAGATCTAGGATGGAAAGGATGCTGGGACAATCATCACTGCAGGTCGATAGCACATAAACACGACCTGTTACAGATCAAACAAAAGGAAGACATTCTATGGTTCCTGGAGCTTAAAAACAACATTACAATTATCATCAAACATATAAACAGACATGACGTCACTAGCGAGTTTGTTTTGTTGTCCGATCCGTGCATAATTGTACGACATTTTATAGTATACTTTTTTTTAAGATTATACGTAATTGCTCAATATTTCAGAATATTTTAATAAACACGTTAGTATTTTAGCAAACATTTCAAACGCAGAAACTTTTCTTGCTTTGCATTTACTTTTTATTATTGCAGAGAGCGATCATTTTTGACCCAAAAAAAACCCACGCAAAAATAGTATAAATGCAACAAACATAGTCTCGGCATATTAAGTGCTTTGTTGGAAGTGTGTTTCTCATTTTTAAAAAAAACAACAAAAAAACCTATAATATACCAGTGTTTGTTGTGTGCACAAATGTTATCATCATACTGACGTCACGGCATGATCAATTGGATGGAAAGTATAATGTCCTCTAAATGGCAAACAATCCAACTACGGCTTTCTTTCTCTCTTCATGCCATTACTGGTTGAGTTATTATCATAATCGCAATGGAATTAGAGAAAAAATAAGAGGTTTAATACCATTCGTTTCAGGGTATGACCACATCGCGGACTATTTCATAGGAGCAGTTGACAAAGGCGTAGGCGTATGGACATGGTACAACAGTGGTGAAACGGTTGATAGCGACATAGTGGTACCGGATCACCACCAGCACACTAAAGATCACTGCGCCATTGCCATGGAAGTCAGCGTCGGGGCCCCGTTCGAACATGATTTTGACTACGGTGCCGCACTTTGTACCGATATGTACAAACCAATGTGCGAGGTGATACGTCAGTAGGGATGACGTCATTTAGGATAAATCGAGTTTCTCAAATTGTTGAAACATTATTCAGATGATTAAAACATGTACATGCATTCATGCTTAGTTGAGTGTAACGTACTTTTTATCTAAGAAAGGCGTTTGCAAAGAAATAAAATAGTTTCGAACATTTATGAAAAAGTGAATATAGAGGTTTTAACTCTTTCAATACATGAAAACTAACCGCTTTATTTATATAGCAATTGACGCATACTTAAAAACCAAACAAACAAACAAAATTGACAGTCAGAAGGAGACCTCCCTCTATCTTTTCTTAATTATCGTAATATCGTTTCATATACATATATATTTTCTTGTCATATGATCCGGGAAAAGAAATAGAGGCCACAATTTCACCATATTTATAAGCTTTCCTATAAGTAAACGCCGTGAGAGTCCTGCATTCCATTGATTTGAATATTTATGATTAATAATAATAGTTGTTCAGTCCTATCACAACTGCGCACTGTTTTCACAACTGCAATAACTAGTGACACACGGAAGTTTTGGTATAGTTGAAATTAAAAATTTACACTACATGTAGTTTTATACATTGTGTAAGCCCAAGTATAACATTACTATTAATGTATTTCATACTTGTGAGTAAGACAGAGCTGTCCAAGGTACGAAAGTGGTGTAAGACATTCCTATCTTACACCCCGTTATACTTGACATGACGTCACAATTGCTGAATAATTAAGTGACGTCACGAATTTGGAAAGGTCTGATGCCGCAATGCAGAAAAGGAAATGTGATAAAAATAAAACCTTTAGAATAACTTGACCGTACAAGTTAGAAAGGTGTTATTATTTTTTCTGTGCATACATAGTTTCAAATATGGGGTGTGCTTGATCTCGCTGACAGATTCGTTTTTGTCAAAAAAGCTCAGGGGAAAAGTAAATATTTTCAAAATGGTAGCCAGTCCAAACGCATTTTCATGGTTTCTGAGCTTATACGGTAGTTGGAATTAAAGAAAAATACTCTTTCATGGCTCGGGTTTTACAAAGTTTGAAAACCCTCGGGTAGGAATTCCTATATCCTACACCCGTGGGCATGAAAAAGTATTATAATGTTAAATGATCCTACTTTCTCATCGGCTGGAACCTAATTACATGGAGGTCGGTGACTTGTGGCATCGACTCGTTATTACTATTGTAAGACAAGCCAGGTAAATATACACTTTATGATGTTATTTAAATTGTAACGTCACAATACTCTCGGCCAAATGCAGCCAAATGAAATACTTTCCTCCTTACAATTTCCATACGTTCCATCTTGTTTTAGTATTAAAACGAAACGAAACTAAGACTAAATTTAAAGCATTATCTAGCTCCTAATATAACTGTTCATTTTTTTTTATTTCGTTGGTTACATTGTTATATGGATACGGGAATGTGATATTAACCTCGACTTCGTTTCGGTCAATATCACTTTCTCAGGTCCATATAACCACAGATCCACACCAACAAACGTCAATAATTACCAATAATCACAGTGGTGCCTCACATAAGTAGTTACTAATAATCACAGGGGTGCCTCACATAAGTAATTACTAATAATCACAGGGGTACCTCACATAAGTAGTTACTAATAATCACAGGGGTACCTCACATAAGTAATTATTAATAATCACGGGGGTGCCTCACATAAGTAATTACTAATAATCACAGGGGTGTCTCACATAAGTAATTACTAATAATCACAGGGGTGCCTCACATAAGTAATTACTAATAATCACAGGGGTGCCTCGCATAAGTAATTACCAATAATCACAGGAGTGCCTCACATAAGTAATTATGATTATGGGCGTACCATGAGAAACAATATTGTTCTTTCTGAAATTTAAATCTAACCGTGTTTGAATATATAAAATAAAAAAGTGTAAAATATTGCATTTCTTGACCCACGTTTTATTATATTTCTGGGAAAAAACACCTAGATATTCCGTTTCACCAGATAGCCAACAATGGGTATTTTCAGGTGTAAAATCCCATGCAGCCCATGGTATGTACACAGTTTCTATAAAGCAATAAATGCAACATCATAGAGCCGATTCAGATCCTATCTTTGAACCATGAAGTATCACAAACAACGCCGTCTGTTGAAAGATTGAGGAAAGAAATCTTGGTGAAAAGGATACCATGGTTGTTATGCTGAACCTATTATTCCATTGCTGTATTGACGTACATCTGTCCAGTAGAGGTGTCGGCGTACAGGTTGGGAGGTTCAACACGGGGAAGATCTAGACTGTCGTAATGGACAGGGTTTGGTGACGTCATGACGGCTTCAGTATACTTTGGCTGTTTTAAAAGTGCAAGGCGTCTGAAAATATTTTGATATATTCAAATTTACCACTCATAAATAAATGTCTGCACAATTTTAATTTAATTTTTGCAATGATTGTCCAATTGGTAGACATGATGGATTGGAAATTATTGATATTCGATTTAAAACGTTAACCAGGGAAAGCTAAAAGCATACATTTTAATAATTTGAAATAGTTACTTAGTGTTTCAGTAGAATAAACCAATGTCTACTGCTGGTAATTTACCAGTTTCTTGAATAGAAACCGATTAGGAATGCTATGAAAGACAAACTGTTAATTTGAAACAGTATATATGATATGTAACACACTTGGCTATATGTAACATAATTTGTTTGGTTGTTTGTGTTTTATGTCTTGCTAACATCAATGGTCAATTAAAAACGTGCCACGTTTTGGTTGTGGAGGAAAACCGGAGTGCCGGGAGAACACCCACCGAACTGTGGCCAGTACCTAGCGACTGTTCCACGAATGTCTCAAACCCTTGACTCGGTGGTGAAAGAAAGTGATTGTAGGCAGTGACAGGCCTTTACCACCCAGACATCGTTACTTACCTTCGGTATATGACCACATTCGCTGTTGTGGAAACGACAATGATAAGCAAAGTAACTAGTAGCGGAACGACTACGGCGCCTGGAAGATAAAATATGTATAACAAATAGGTAAAATGTATCAATCAAAGTTGCTTCATAGTCTTAATACCATACTAACGTCTTACTGAAGTATATAACGACACTTTTAACTACGTCTTCTAAACATTGTAGTTGACAAGCCTTTTGGCAGTTTGTCGGTGACTATTTATCATATATATAAGCAAAGGTTATACCTGATTTTTTCTAACTCTCGCCGAAACCTAGAGTTATTCTGAGAAAAAACGCTAAATGGAGGTCAATCGTCTTAAACGGAGAGTCGTTTATAGACATAAGAAAAAAGAGATAATTATTTTTATTTTAAGTTACACAACTTGAACACTGTTACATGTTATTTCAACTAATCACATGATTTAAGCAGACGCACTTATCAGAGAGACACCATAAAAAAGTGGCAAAAAGAGAAATGTTCAAGTTACGCAACGACAGCGGCAGGACAACTCATTTTAGCCACTGCTTTGCCCTTAAAAGGAGAGCATAGAAATAAGCCTCCGATTCTATAGTGAAAATACGTTTTTCTTGAATCACTTAGTTTCTTTGATAACATTGTATTTATATACATACTTATTGGATATCCCTGTTGGGGATGACTTATTTGAACACATTTCTCCCGTACTGGTTCAGTCTGTCCAGTATAAGTGCTATTGTAGGTAGTTATCTCCCTTGACTGAGTGGTAGTGGTTGTCTCCCTTGGCTGAGTGGTTGTGGTTGTAGTCAAAGGTTCGACGGTAGTGGTTGGTACGTATTCCTCAGTGGTTGTAGGGGTGATTGGAGTGATTGGTTCATTACAGGTCACAATAAGATCAAGGTTGGTAGACCCTATTGACACATTAAAATATTTTGATGATATTAATCCATCTTTCCATTACATCCTCAATCTAACAAGTTAACACTTTACATCATTTAGCATATCTAAAGTTTTAAAGTAACGCAAATAGACCATACAAAAACAGCATATTTTAGTAGTTGCTGGGAAGTTTTCCACTTGTGGCGGTACAAATGATTATTCTACATCTGATCAAATAACGGGTACAAATAGAGGTGATGGATGTTAGTTCATTTTAATTACTCGAATTTTTTGATGATTACCTTATTTATGCCACTAGTAAAATTAAATATATTTTATTGAAAAAAATATTTTGTGACCCTTTTTGAAAACATGTGTTTCATTGTGGTAAGAAAGTATGTTCAAACAACATGCTCAAAATATAATGAGAGTTTTATACAGATATACCTTGAGAGGAAATAAATATACAATGTCCTGATATCCACGATGTACTGACGTCTGCCCGTGATAGCGTCAGTGTCAACATGTCGGAAGTCCCGAAATTATTTGTCGGAGTATTAGGGATTGGGGTGCAACCAGTTTCAGTAAAGATGCTAGATTTAGTAGAATTGATCCTAAGTATACTTCCACAGTTCTGTAATGGTGCTACACGCGGGTATTCTTCCATTTCTACTGTTGTAGTTGTTGTTGGCGACGCTGATCCTGTATCCAAGGTAACGGTACAGGTACATCTGTATATACCCGGACCTCCCGTACCCCAAGTGTCTATCACAACACGTTTGTTTTTCAATGTTCCGCTCTTACACATCCGAGAAACTTTGATAAGAAAAAGATAAAAACATAATACATTTTATATGACTGGAACAGGAAGGAACAGTTATACAAACAGACAAACAAAAAAACCCCCGAAAACTAACCATATTTTACTTTAGCAATGCATAAATACCTTTATAATGGGTACTTAATGTAATAAGTATTTTCATGAGAACTGCCAACTTCACGCTTTCGCGAGTTTCTGTTTAATTTCTGTTCGATTGTAGTTGCCAAGTAATATCAATGTCACTGACCTCTATTCCTAATTCTTAGCGTGAAAAACTATTTGCTTCAGTAACAGTTTAGAGCTCTAGCCGTGATACTACTTGAGAGATTTATCCTAAGATAAAAAGGAATCATTGACAAAAATATTAATCATTGAAAAAAATAGTAATTATTGAAAAAAGTAACATTTGACATTCATTTGTACGCATTCCTCGAAACAAATTATGTAATGAAGACAGTTCAACAAGTTCATACTGGTCATACACGTTTGCTCCATCATAAGCAGTCTATCTATTTATTTATCTAATTGACAAATTGTAATATTTATGATTTCATAAAAGCAGACATTAATCTTTGGTCTCCTGAATGACTGTACCGCCACAGCTCTTGTGTTGGAACAATTTAATTTCACACATCGACTCAAACGGTTTTATTCATTTGACTTCTTTTGCCGTATTTCAGACGCCAGATTTTCAATCACTGATAAGCATCAGGACAGCTTAACGTAAAATATCAGGAAATTGAAATCATATGTGAAGTACAATTAGTAAAGATATGCAATAACTTTCAAGTAATAAGAAGCATACAAATACATTTGAAAAGCTACCGGCTCGTTAATGTTATCAGGTATTCAACCATCAGATTTTTACACATTGACAATTTTTTTATTCACATAATCTGCAGATTAAGCCTAGAGAAACGCTGCAGTATTTGAAATTGAAATAACCTAGCATAATAGGGATATTGCTGGTTGGTGTGTCAAATCAACAGGTGTATAGTTGTGCAACAACTTTCTTCAGTAAAAGAATAAGGTCCAAGGATTGTTTTTTTCGTGCTGTTTTCCAACTTGTTTGTTGCAAGATTCTGTTACATTGTAAATGAAGAAGATGTGGGAAAGCACTTGAATGAATGGTTGTTCTGTATAGATACTTTTTTTCAAATACTTTCTGAATGCGTGAATACGAGGCAGTCTGTCTTCCGTACTTTGTAATGGTAATGGTAATGGTGCCATTGATTTAACAATTACAAATACAATATGTATAATTTATAATATTTTACATTTTTTTTTTTACAAAAAATGGTTAATCTTCTGAATATTACTACGCTAGGACTTCATATTTGTATTGACAATAATCTTAATTGAATATTTTATAAGAAATAGTAGGAAAATATAATTATCCTAAAGTATAATACTTGAACCGACGACATAACCATAACATTAACATACCGTGAAAGAATCTGTCCAAATCAGTCTGGTCAGTACATGCCGCTGTATTGACACCTACAACAGATACTCTGTAATAATATATTTATATAACGAGACAATGATCGTAAGTAACGCTGGGAAAAAGCAACAATCAAATTAATGGTGCTGCTTTTAAACTGAAATGCATGACTCTTTGAGTTTCAACTAAATTTAATTGTATGAAAGTTACACAATGAAACGACACACACACAATAGAGCCGAACGCATCCTATTAAGTTCATCGTTTGTGGTCAGTTTGATCCCAATGTAACCTAAGAAACAACTGAGATATTGTTGGAAGGATATCCAATATAAATATTCTACTATAGACTTGCTTATATTAACGTACATCCTAGAAGCAAACAGTGCATCTGATCTAATGAGAAAATGTAATTTGAAACATTATGTACTGGTGATGTTGTACGTACACAATAGAAGGTGCCGCTTATATAAGGTTACCGCTAACATAAGGTTACCGCTAAAATAAGGTTACGGCTAAAATAAGGTTACTGATAAATCAAGAGCGTTCACAGCACACGTTCAAATATGTTATCTCAAAGTTTTACTTTATACAAAAACAATGTACATATCAAATGTGTCACAACGTTTCACGGCCGACTGGTCCCTTTGTAAAGCTATGACTGACTGAGCGATTTGTATTGTTTACCTGTAAACGATATGACGAAATTGTATATATCATACGTCACTCGACCCCGGACGTTTCACCTACCGATAGAGAGTGTATACACGTTATGTCAAATAGGTTACTGTCCTCAGTGACGTCACCAGTTTCTGCGTAGCAAAAGGCCTTTTTTTCGAATTTGATGGTAGATACCAGACGCCCGACTGCTAGGGTGAAGGAAAAGGTAATTATTTCGTTATTTTTTTGTTATTATCCATAACCTTGGTGGTTATGACGGCCTTGGTGGCTTCTTGTTTTACTGGACACGCATGGTACGTAAATAAAAAACACCAGATGGTTGTATTACAACTACAAGACAGTTGGTCTATGAGCACGGTGTGCGAAAATGGCGGCTAGCCTAAGGTTATAGCGTGCTGAAGGCCCAAATATGCAACATTAAAATTGGGTATGCTGATGTGGTTTTGTTGAATGAAGTGATAAGTATTTCTACACAAGAGTATAGTGTCGTTCCAAATTGCAATGTGTTTGTGTCCATTTTGCCGTAATAACTTTTTTATTGTTTATTTATCAGATGCCCCCCCCCCCCAACCGGTTGTTTTGAGGAGGCGTCACAGCCTGATTGACAAAAACCTGTTGCCAGTAATCAAAAGGATAAGAGCATTCAGGGGAGATACTGTCCCGATGTGCGCGCGGATGAAAGCGACGCTTTCTACAGAAGATCGCCCGAGTGGGGAACTGAGTCGTCATTTTAGAGAACTGACTGGGGAGGACATGAAGGACATTTTATTGATGTGCGTGAACAAACATGGCGGCAATCGAGAATCAATGTAGTCGTGCGATATTGGAAACGGGAAACACCCTTTAGCATTTCATGCTAGAGCACATGTACATGATGTAAGAGTTGCATTATTAGTTATCTTATGTACGCTGTACAATACTTTACAAACTTCTGCTGGTATTTTGTTAAGTTTGTGGATAAGGTATTTGTCGAGGAAAAATATGCTCGGAAATAGGTCATTCGTCAACTCGACATTTACTCGATTACTACAACACATAAGTGGCATATAACTTATAATATAAGCGGTTAATATCGATATGTTTATCTGATCTCTAATTATATAATAACACTGCTATGGTCATACCTACGTTTATAATTACATTCAAATATAATTTCATGAATATACTACAAAGCAGTTTGAAGGAAAACAACCGCTGTGTCCACTGAACTGATTTAATTAGTGGGTTACTTTCGGAATGTAAATTGCATGTAATATAGTTGATTAATGTTTCATTATGGGTTATGAAGTTGAATAGTTGGTGTTATTTGATGGATATCGGTCAGTACAGTTGCAATATGTGCATGACACATTATTTTGCTTGATTGGCGGGAACAGAGAGCAAGGGCCAGAGGTTGAAGAGGACCAGAATGCTCCTCCCACTAAAAAGAGAAAACAGATTGGTGCCGGTGTTGCTGTACCGCCTGTGAAAACTCAAACGGAGGTAAAGACATTGAAGGACCGCATAACATTTTTGGCCATGAAAATGAACCTAGTGAGTCATTAATTCTCCTTTCATTTGATGAACTGTCAAAAAAGGCAAACCGAGAACATACTGAGGAAGCAGATACATTTGAGAAATTGTTGCGACAAGCCTTGTGATACCAAGGAAAAATTAATATTGCAGGCTTGGTTCTTGATATTTTAGGGGGAGGGGTGTCTAATGAAATAGCCAAAGCACTAGCAAAATGTATGAAAGAGAAAAGTGAGGTGGTAAAAAGTCCAGCTAGCACGACCCCTTCGAGTAAAGTAGGTAAAGAAACCCAGTCCCCCTTGACAAATCTGTACCCTCCTTGTGCACCCGGGTATGCTGCAGGAGGTTTTGTCGGGCAGCCTTACTATCCATATCCGTTTCAACAGAGTCAAGCTCCCTAGGCATATGGCCATAGTTTTGGGTATGGTGGGTACAGACGGTATCGACTGTATGGAAGGGAAATGGCCGGGGCGCCAGGGGGTTCTCGGAAAACAGAGCCTTGTCATTTCTGTGAGGGTATGGGACACCATATCAAGGATTGCGAGAAGCTTAAAGCCTTGCGAAACAAATAGTTTGTAACACATAATTTACAGAATTAGTTTTAGGTGTAACTGTATTTTTGCAGTTACCATAGTTGGAGTTTTAATAGTTAATTGGTCATTTTATTTCTCATGATTCTATATCTCACCAGTCCAAGAGGGTCTAATCCTCTTGTGGACATTTGTTCACATGGGCTGTGAGATGTAGACTCTTATGTTCCTTGGTTAGCTTGAAAGGATGATTTTTAATACCTGGTCATAACTCTTAAGTCTATAATCTGAGTGCATCTTGTTTGTTGACAGACCAAACTTGTGGGAGGACTCACGACTGATAAAGAAACCACAAGTAACGAACAACACACAGATTTTAACCCAGAAAAGCTGTCAATGTCACATCGAAATCATCCGTCATGGTTAACCATGGGTGCAGATGAGTCTCATCTCGCATCTCATGTTACGGCTGAACAGTTATGGCCTGAGATACAAGTTTCTCTGTTGATAGTTTACCTTTACGTGACCCAGATTATTTGTGGCTGGTCAGTTACATGAACACAAAACCTAATGGGCAAACATTATTGGGGATACAGACACACTGGAAAGGAAAAGAAAAGGGTAATGTCGTGGATAGAGAATGGGTTGACGCCACAGAATTGTTCACCCATTTTAAAGGGCCTTTTAAGGGGAAGGTTTATGACATCAGTTACCCTATGAAACAGTTTTCCCAACTCCTCTAGTTGTAAGGAACACACTCCTTTTATTAGACAAGAATTGTGCGAGCGTCTGTGTGACGGGTCAATAAATTGTTGCGTAAGTTAGGGGAGTGTGAGCTGCCCCATATTGTTATGCCCCTGAAAATGGAACCTTCCAAACCACGTCTTTCCCACGATGAGCGTTATCTGAACCTTTGGATCAAAAGATAACCCTTTTAAGCTCGAGACATTGAAAGATGTACCTCGTTCAGTACAGAAGGGGGCACAATTAGTTTGTTGTGATGACAAGTCAGGATACGACCATGTAAAACTCACACTTGAATAACAGACATACAATGGCTTTGCTTTTGAAGGTTGGGTATTTTCATATACTACCCTCCCTTTTGGGTGGAAAGCATCCCCATATGTATACAATACTATTGGTATGCAGGTCACCTCATACCTCATACCTCAGACATTTTGGAATACCAAACATACAGTATATTGATGACCGACTAGCGGTATGCAACCCTAGTGTACCAGATGGTTGTCCTATTGATAGTCATCTTAGAGATATCTAGATTTTTGGTATGGTATGAGAGAATGGGGAAAACACAAATGCATGTGTACTCCTGTACTCATATTGGAAAACCTGCATTGTTCCCATGTAAATGTCCTGTGGGCATTGCAGGAAACATACTCTCTGTGATAGTAAATCAGTTAACAGATATATTGGAATCCAAGGGGAGAGGAAGAACCTGGAATGAGTTGACGTCGTCGGGCAACCCCATGTTGTCGTGGTGTGTTCATAACTATGTACAGTTTGTGAAAGAGGAACAAGCAAAGGCTAGAGTACTTCCGAAACAGTCAAAACCGTTATTTATTAGTAAAATCCGTATAATTGACTCGCACATCTGTACAAAACTGCAGAGTACCTTGTCTCTGCTTGAGAAGTATACACTAGTACGGGATCAGGCTTTGTTTAAACTTCAGTTCTTTTCAGGGGATAGGGCTTCAGATATGTCCAATTTGTTAGCTCAGGAAATCAAGTCATGTCTTCTGCCATACTTTTGGCAAGTCAATGAGGGGAGTGATGGTAAGAGAAACAATTTCATTGTAAAACGATGTGATGATTCACTTATCTGCCCTATTCAGGGAATTGACCATTACAGGAGGGAGTGGATTTGTCCAGGGACTACCTTTTCCGGGTACTGTGTTAGACGCACCAGTATCATACTCCGCAGTGTATGAAAGGCTTAAACACTATTTATAGGCATGTAATATTGATGAAGGCGAGGCACCACATAGCCCGCGGGCTGGTTGTGCGGTCACACTGGCAACCTCCCGTTCGGTAAAACAGAAAGACCTCATGAAGCATGTGGGCTGACTATTATAATAGGGCAACTCAGCTACATGAATCTGAGGCAGTTGCATCTGTCTTTGCAGAATCAGTTTGGGACAACGATGCAGAAATAAACTACATTGCTCTTGGAGATTTTTCAGATTTGCAGTCACTTTTCTTCTAATGATTTTGCGTGCAAGACTTTGTTATCGGCGTAGAACTAGAACATTAATTATGCACACAATTTATGTTTAATATTAGGAAATAGTTTACTCAAGAAAGTGCTCATTATTGAATGCTGAATCTTGGTCATGTGTGATATTTGAATGTCATTTATTAGTTCATAGCTGAACTATGGCAGTACAACATTACTTTATATATGTACTGATGAAGTGAGTTTGTTACATGATGGTGTACCTATATTGTATACAACGTTTGGTTTGTGTATGCTTATAACTGCACACTAAACAAAACAAATATATATATATAACTATATACGGATTAGTGATCGCATACACTGTGGTATGATTTGTGTATAGTGAGCAATATGATTTGATTTGTTCATTAAAAATGGAAAACATATGTAAATTCTTTGGGTTTTTTTATTGAGAAGTGTGCTCATCTAGTTCGAAGGGCCAAGGTGAGCTAAGAGCTTATGCCATGATGCGTCGTCTGGACATATTTCCATGATGGCTGTTCCAAGTCCTTACAGGGTGTATGAAAACTGTCAACTTAAAAGGGACACACAGAATAAAAGAAGAAGTCAGTGAAGAAAATTTTGGATAATTTGCTCCACTGATTAAGTATTGGGAAGAGACTCCTTTAAAATGCATTGCTGATTGATGTGGGGAGAATGATTACATACATTTCAAGTCTCCAACATCTTACACCCAGTACTTAATTGGAGTTGTGGAGCTTAATCTGATACACGTCATTTAGGTTAAGTTATTAGGAGGGTTTAGACACGCTCAGCGTCCGAAAAGAAAACGACACCATCAAACTATGAGTGTACCGCAAACCGATACACACCGATCAGTACCTGGCTTTCAATCCGTGCCAAAAGGAATGTTATAAACGGGAGCTTGTAAACTAGCTTTGGTATCGAACGTACACTCCCTGACAGATGGAACAACAGCATCACAGAGCTGGACGAAAGACAAAAGGAGAAATAGCACATAAAAGACGCACTCAACCGTTGTGGCCTTACGGACTGGTCAATTAATTACGTGAAAAAGAGCTGTAATAGAAAAACAAAAACAAAAACAATAAAACAAAAGGAGAGAGAAAAAAATGAGAGCCAAAAAAATTGCAAAGCCTTGGTAACAATACCTTACGTGAAAGGGACATCTGGGCCGTTTGCCTGGATGATGAGGAAACTCCATTTCAGCACCCCAATGAGACCATTGACAACACTCAGACAGTTACATCTGAACCAGAAAGACAAGACTGACATTCTAGACAAAAAAGGAGTTGTTTACCAAATTCCGTGCAAACATTGTCAGCAGTCAAATATATGAGAAACCGGGAGGAAATTTGGAACACGGCTTAAAGAGCCTTAAAAGGACGTAGAAAAAATGAGCAACGCCAACATTGCATGCAAAACATCCGCCTCACAGTACAATAAATCAGCACTTTATCGATTCTCTTAAGCTAGGCTGGATAAGGAGAGTAGTACAATCACGTGGAAAATGGAGTGTAATTTTGAACACAATGGTGGATCTATACAAGCTATGTAATTGTGGAAATGAATATATTAAGTTATGTTGATCCAATTGTTCAAATATATTTCGGAAAGATGTTCTAAAGCTTTGGACAAACTTAATAATTCTGAAATTCTGAAGATTAGTAGACAAGAAACAATTTTGAAAACTGCTGTGTGGTACAATAAGTATATCAAAATAAATAATAAACCTGTCTTTTATTCTACTTGGTTTGAAGCAGGTGTGAGTACATTGAGTGACCTAATTAAAAATTCAGATGATTTGACTTTTTACTCTTTTGATGAATTTATACACACTTTTCATGTGAACACCAACTTTCTACAATAACATGGACTAGTAAATTCACTCAAACATTTTAAGAAATTATAGTGTTAATTTAGAAAAAACCCTCTCTGCTAGCTATACCTCAGCTTTTGTAAATATTTTTAAAGAGTAAAAGAAGATCAAAAGATTTTTATAACTGTATTATTACTCAAACATTGCTGCCAACTGGGATCAGAAAGTGGAACCAGGAGTTTGACTATGATAAAGAAAGATGGGCTAAGATATTTAGAGTACCTTTTTCAGTCACTAATAGTTCAAAATTACAATGGTTCCAATTTAGAATTATACATCATATTTTGGTTACAAATACTTTCCTTTATAAAATAAACCTAACTGCTAGCCCTTCATGTACTTTATGTAACATGGAACATGAGACAATAGTTAATTGTTTATGGGAGTGTCAAGAGGTGCAAAATTTACTGCAGAGAACTGAAACTCTGCTTGACTTATTACTAATTCCTTTTGCTTATAACAAAGACTCCTTTCTTTTTTGAATAATAACACAATACTATAATCATGTGGATACTGACATTCTAATTCTCATTAAACATTATATATACAAAACTAGATGTCTCAGGGCTACCTTAATCTCAATGCATTCATCAATGCTATCAAAGATCATTTCCTGGTTCATAAATTGTAAATACCAGTAAAACTGAGCTTACCAAAGAGCAGTTCATAAAAGGCTGGAGAAAATGGAAACCTCTTTTAGAACTATAGTGATAATTATTACCAATGTTATCACCATTAATAAAAATTATATAAACATCATTAATTTATAATTTTGGTTCCAGTTGGCAACTTTGAACACTTATTCATGACCATTTTAACCCTGTGTTCGCCCGATTAGGTCACTGTTCCACTCAGCTATTTATTTATATATCATATATATTTCTGATCTTGTCTCTCCCCTCTCTCTCTCTTTCTTACTTTGCTCTATTTGCCTATTCTCCTTCTTTTTCTTCAAATGTTCGTACACATATGTGTACATGTATTTACGATGTGTGTTTATGTGTGTGTGTGTGTGTGTGTGTTTGTGTGTGTTTTCTCATTAAATATGAGTGACAAATATGGATGTGCTTAATCTTGAAAAGAAATTGGGGTAATTATATATACATAATTACATACCAGTATGAACGAGTGGCTACTTGTTAAAGATGATGAAGATGATGAGGAGGAAGACAATGATGTACTGGTAAGGATGATGATTGTTTATTGTGTGAGAGTTGTATTGATGCATTTGTAATTATATTTTCATGATGATGATGATGATGATGATGACGATGATGATGATGAGGATGAGGATGCAGATTGTTTATGGGTGAGGTGTATTGTAGTCATGATGATGATGATGCATGTACACATCCATAAACAGTTTTTGTGTGTGAAAGAGAATGTGTGTCAGGATCTTTATGTAATGACAAAAACATTAAAAAATAAAAAATTACACAAAAAAAAAGAATCAGCATTAATAGATCATGCTAACACCCAAAATCGCATAGTCGATTGAGACAATGTCAATTATAAACAACATAAAAACGAGACCAATCAAAGAAGCAATCAAAATCAGGAAAATTCAAAACTTGAACAGAGGCGAGGTGATGCCACCTGAGTCGTCTGTATGACCCGATACTGACTTGACGGGAGAGGGGGCTAGATACACACTCTACCAGTAACCTATTCGACACAGTGTGTATACACTCTCTATCAATAGGCAAAACCTCCCGGGTCGAGTGACAAAAGAAAAATACAATTTTATCAAATCGTAGTGCAGGTACACAATACAAATCGCTCACTCACTCATAGCCAGTCGTTTTTTTAAAGTTGCAACACGTTTGATACGCACATTGTTTGTGTATACATCAAAATGTGGATATAACATCTACGTGCGTATCTTAGGAATACGCCTAAACTTTAAACACAGTAACACGTTTGTCCTCCTTGTACAATTATTTACAATTGATCCGTCAACAAACAATGTTCACATGTATATGAATATAAAACCATTAATGCTATAATGATACAAATCCTTTTAACTCAGATATGTAACATCCCAATCAATGCTGTCCATATTCTATAGTATACCTACTTAATAAAGGATGGTGTACTCTTAAAACACGGATATCAATAAAAATACGTCCCTGATATTTTCTTTTACTTCCTTGTTCGTATTACCTGTAATATAGGCGTACACAATCACCAACGTATACGTATATCCCAGTACATTGAGTCTGTCTTGTCTACTGTCCATGGCTTCCCTCGCTGTTTAAAAAAGGGCAGGGAATTGTGACATGACGTTGGGTCAAAGCTTCAACTTCTGTGTTCAAAAGTCCAGCTGGTACATTGTATACATCAATACCGGCAAGAAGGAAGTTACCGTAGAACATTCCTATTGAATGTTATTGTATGCTAAATATAGCACTGGTGTATTCATCAAAACATGTTAAAGCTATTTGAACGCAGCGGTGCATTGACGTGCACTCAGTTAGTGTATAACGGAACAGAAATACAAATATAGCTGTTTTGATCAAGTGTTCAAACCCTTATTTCATATGAACCTCTCTTACATGATTTGTCAACGAATACAAATATGGAGTTTCTTAGTCATTCAAATATTTATGTATGTATATGCTATTAAAGAATTGATGTTGTCTCAGTAAAGAAATGAATATTAAGGTGTTATGTCTCAGTGAGATGCTAAAGAGTTCCGTAAAGCTTTGAGCAATCATTGCGTAAGATTATGACAACAACTTATAACATATACCAATAAATGCATCTAGCAATGTAAATGTTTTGAAATTAAAAAACGTGGCACATTGCATGAAATGAACAAAATGAGTATTGGTCTTTAAAAAGATGTTCTATGAAGTCGTTTTAAAAACAGAAGTAAGCATTTTTATTGATTTCCCTGTTAATTAGCCATTTAAATCAAGAGCGATTCTAAATTGAGCAAAACGTAATCAATGGATAATTCAATTTTACTAAAAGTGGATAGCATCGGTATTTTCTTTCTTGTCATCTTGACTGAATGTTACAATAACATGTCAGGCATGGGATGGTTTGAATTGGCATATGGCTTAGGAAAGATAACATGAAGCTGCAAATGGGGAAAAGCGCGTAATCAATGGAGTAAGAATGGGTCTGCTGACAAAAAAATAAAACGCTCTATAATATAACCAATGACAGTTTTCCCCAATTTTTGCAAATATAGTACAAAGGACGGTTAGAATACCTTTTAAAATAAGTTATATCCATGGATCATTAGGAATTTATATTTTGTTGCATTCATTCCGATTCAGGGAGAGGAAAAAAAGTCTTCTGTCATAGAACTTAGCATCAGCAGATCTTAATATCGCTTGTCGTTCGACCCGTGAATGATATACGTATTATAATTTACGATACATCACCATGCAGGGGTAGAAATTGTCCAAACCAGTCCGATCAGTACATACCGTTGTGTTAACACTTATAATAGATACTCTTTTATAATATTCAATAACAAAATAGTCACTCCTAAAACTCAAATTAATGGCATTGTTTTCAAATCTGCATTGACCAAGAGTTAACAGTTACAGAAATGAGTGATACATAATTAACTCGCAAAACTCAAGTGAACGACGAGCAGAAATAAGTCTATCATTATGGACCATTGTGATCAATTATTCTTATACTCCTGACCCTTTTAGGCAGGTCTGTATTTGAACATTTTTAGAATGTTTCATACTTAATGCGCTTATATTAAGCACACCCACATTTTAATGCTCACTGGTGTGTGTGCTCGAAAAGTGCAATTATGATTGATCTATTTGAGCAATAATGCATTGACGAAGCAACTTCTTTTCCTAAAGGAAATGTATTTCGTCCTCTGTCCTGTAGTTATTACCAACAAACAATGAGCAAACGAGAAATAATGTATGACCTTAAACGTTATGATGTTATGATCATCATTCAGTATTGAAACCAATAAATAATATCCTAATCGATACTGGTCAAACTTCGTTATATAAATACTGAATAATGTCCATTTCGTCTTAGAACATCGTGGTAGGAAAATCAACGAGAAATATGTCCCATGTATTTACTTCCCCATTCCTTGTTCGTGTTACCTGTAATATAGGAGTATACAAACACCACCATATACATGTATCCCAGTAAGATAAATTTGTCCTGTTCATCGATCATGGCTTCACCTTCTTTTCTCAAATGGGCAGAGAATTATTTATAATATTCCTGGTGATAATTTAACTTCTATATCTCAAACTTAAGCTGATATGCAAATATGTTGGGAAAGAGGAAATGACCGTATGCACGCAGTATTGTTATATACTAAATATAGCGCTTGTGTATTAAATCAACAACTATACACGCTTTATCAACTCATCAGGGCGGAACAAGGTACATTCTAGTGTACCGTCCAGCTCTCATTTGTTACAATACGGAAGGAAAATAACTCCCTGGTTCATCTTGGGACTCTCTAGGCGACCTTTGTCGTGTTTGATGTTGTGTTTTTAATTTTGTATGTTTTTTACAGGTAATTAAGAAAGTGTCATGTTTGGGCTCGAAAGCATTCTTGTTACACAATAGCTGTCTCTGGCAGGAAGTAAATTATATCAATAAAATATCAGAGGAAATTTTTTAAGAGCTTCGATTATTGAAAGCATGTACTTGTTTTATATCTATAAATATTTTATAAATAGAGGATCTGACACGACTAGTCATGTAATGATAATTTATTTAACGAGTTTATTAATTTGATATGAAACGAGCCTTTAAGAAAATCAGTATTACATGAACACGAGTGTTAGATTCTATTTATAATATAATTTGAGAAATATCCCTACATAATTGTTCTCAATACGTCTCCTCTATATAGCGAGGACTGACGAAAGGACTCATTACATACATTATGTTTGGAGCACGCTGCGCCACAACAATAATTCCAGAAACTTCTCCCTGAGAACCCTTTACTTCAAAATAAACAAATAATGATTTCAGTTTCTTTTCTTCAATGTTTTAATAATTATGATAACAACATTAATAATGATTTTTTTATACTAAAACCATTCAACGGATTGGCGTTTACAAAAATAGCAGTGACGTAATATACATGGCACAACGGCGCGTGTACTGTCAAGGTAAAGGTCATAACAATACACATCGAAGTCGGAACTTTTGAAAAGTTTTCACGGACTGGAAGTGATTGTCACTTCCTATAATATGGGCATATTTCTTAAGATATTTTTTTCATGAATGTGAACTTTGATGTTTTCGCCTATCACTTTTAGCCAGGATATATACTGTGGAATTTCAATGAATCTGGAACACTGATGAAGTTGGCCGGTTACACGAGGTCGCAATTGATTGTGTGTGAGTCTGAACAGTTGAAGTAGAATTTCACAAACACTCGTGTTCATGTAACATTGAATTAATCAAACTCGTTTATTAATTTCATTCCTTCACAGTGCCCCTGCCTCTGCCATAAATGCAAATAGTATCTCCAGTTACTAGGTCAGCCATTTAGTTTCCAAACGTAGAAGTTGTAGCGTGTAGGAATATTACCTATTTCCAAAGGTGATAAGACTCATTTGCATGTTTCTTGTACGTGTGCTATATCGTTTTTATTGAACGGCGAAATTGCACGGAAATAGCCTGTATTATATAAATGTATTATATGTAATAACATTTTCAAGTCTCGGCTATTTGTCAATGCCAGTTTCACTAGTCTGATCAGTGTTTCTGTCTGTTGAAATGTTCCGACCTGTCAGTTCCTTTGGTCCTTTTGGCACTCGAGGTAATTCACCAACACTGTACAATTGGGCGTCGTATTTTCATATTTATCGTATGTTATATTTCATTCCAGATGTAGTTTGGAATACTATGAGGGTCAATCATCATTTTTATCATGTGTATTTGTTTATCATGATTTGAAATATGCCCCTATGAAAAAGATGGAACTTGGTCTATGTTCATTGGTAGTTTTTTCTCTTTCTATAAAATGTTTAATGTTTAAAATGTTTATTTCTCTTTTCCTATGTCTGCTGTAGCAATGGCAAGCAACTACTTACTGATCACGAAGCTATCATGTTCAAGTACCCATCGCCGTATTGACGTAGGTTTGTCGCGTGGACACTTCCTCGTACGTATTTGGGGGTTTAACACGTGACTGGTCAAGACTGTCATAGTGGACGGTGTCTTGTGA